AATCTGCGTAAAATGAGTTACTGAAAACTAAACTCAAAATATTTATACAAGGTCTTGTTCAAATTATAATTCTAAGAAAAAAAATGTACTTCCGAGTATTTTTTTTAATAAACATATTCGATGGTTGAGGCACATGACCCGTATAATATATACCTTAAGGACTAACAAACATACAATTTCGTATAATAAAACACTGTTTCTTACTATAGTCTGTTCTAATCCATTTTGAACAAAAAGTAAACAAACACTTTAACGAATATTTCGAAGATTTCGGCTTGATATATCATCACTTATTCTAACAATATTCAGTGGAATAGCATCGTAAAATCGTATTTGAAAAATGGTAGTCCAAAAGTGAGGTTATTATTCATCTATACTTCTATGACTTGCCTATGGTTGCATAGTGCTGTTCGAAAAAAACAATCGGTTCAATCAATTAAAGTAATCGATTATTAAATCGAACATTTCAATCGCAATCGAACGAGTATCTAAGTGTAAGGATTTGAAGGAGGATTTAAATTGAAATTTTATTTCAATTATTATAATATATTTATTAAAAATATGCTTATATAGGTTATGTAAGGAAAACCGCTAGTATGACTCATTTCAACAAATCGATTCATTCAATTAATTAATCGATTTGTAGGTGCCGTTACAATTGGGCATCACTGAACCATCTATGGTCGGTTTACTTTTTGTTCAAAATAGATTGAAACGAAGTATACATTTTATCAACTGCCTCCGTGGCCGAACGGTTACCATGCCGGACTGCCACGCAGAGGTCCTAGGTTCGATTCCCGGGCCGGAAGAAATATTTGTATGGCCTACATTTATTTCTCTCGTGAGTTTGGGTGTAATTTGTGTTTGTCTATGTATGTGTCCATGGCACCCGCGACACAGGGTTTCCCTAGTGCGGGGCTATGTTGAGTGTGTGCGTTATTGTTACATACAGTGGCGGATTGGTAGTCTTGGCCTCCCTAGGCCCCAGGCCATGTAATCAATACCAGCCGCCCCTTTCTCAGCACCCATCGTATACTGATAGACTACATAATAAATTTACTTTATTGCCAACTTTTATAGAAATCGATTCAGAAATTTAGCTGCTTAGATAATTTGAGTTATTTCTAGTTATCATCAAGTGAATTTTTGTCACGATTGGCCGCCCCAAAAATCTGGTCGCCCTAGGCCCTTAGGGCAAATCTGCCACTGGTTAAACATTAGATTCCATGGTGGCTTAAAAGAAATGTATTTTTCATCACACTTGCTCGTAAATATTATGATTGCATGGTGGCTAACTTGACTATAATTCACCGAAAAAAACTCTCGGGCCTTTTTTCTTCCCATTGCAGCCATGGTCGGTAAGGAGTTTTCTTTTTAATTCGTAGCACGACACTCTTCATCATATAGGTCAGGCTCGAGTTCAAGCGAGGATGTTACTTAAGTTCAAAATTAAAACAATCGCGTAAAATGTTGTCTAAACAGAAACTTAATTGCTTGATGGCTTACTGGGCTGCGATCGCTCACCATATGGTACTGGCAGAAAACGAGCACCGTTGGACTTCTCTCGGTCTACAGTATTTGTGCTGAGTCAGCAGGGCCATTTCAGCACAAACTGTAGTCATAAGTACATTAAAATTTTATCAGTTGTTATAGCATTTGTTTGTTTTTCTCACAGTAATTGTTTTTCTCGCAATATGTGTTTTGTATAAATGTGTATAAAATTAATAATGAATGTTCTATGTGCTTTTATGTTATACTCTGTGAAGTGATTGTAAATGTTTTGTTTCTGTTTGTATTTGTGCTGAATAAACGTGTTATCTATCTATCTATCTATCTAATTGCATTTCCACCCCAAAACTACTTAAATACCTATTAATAAGAATTTCTTAAAATTGGTTTTAATTTCTTTTTTACAATCCATTACGGCTGCATCCGTTTTTGCTTTTTACAATATTTTAGTCCGAGTTACCATAGCCATCCTGTTGATAAAAAAAAAAAACAGAAAAACAAATGGAGGGTTCCTTTTGCAAAATCCATAATTCTTGTGAACCATATTTATGCGTACAAGAAATAAACATTGTATTTATTTCCTCGCAAGTGTGATGAAAAACATTGTATGTACCACGGACTGTAAGAAAGTACAAAACGAATTATTAAAGCCCTCAGCCTTCGGTTTCGGGCTTCTAATAGACCCTCGTTGACAATTTCGTATTTACTGTTTTACTTTACATTTTATTTCGTACTTAACGCACAATGTCATACGTAGGACAAATCTCGGTTGTTTTTTCAAAATTCAGGTTAGGTTAGTACCTATATGAAAAAGTCTTTTTAATTTACTTTATCTACACACGTATCATAAACCCTCTATGCTGTGTTCAAAAACCGCAAATTACGACCAGCATAAAGATAAACTGTTTTGTAAGAACCAATTTCTTATCTGTGAAAATGTTATTATTGCTTCTTATGCTCAAGTCGCACTGGCGCAGAGTCGAAGCGTTGCGACGTGTCATGGTTTTCGCCTATTGTATATTCATTTCTATTTTCCCATTATTAAGGTACAAATTTGTGTTATGCGAATATGGAAACTCGCCGCGTCTCACTTGAGGCTGCAGACGCCGACCACACTGTGATCCGGACGCACTAATACGAGCGTCAAGCGTTGTAGTTGAAAACAAGGACGTGACGTGAGTTAAGCCATTATACTCGCCTGTGGGTTCGTTACATAAACCCACACTCTTAATTTCATGCCTTCATTATGTAAGAGTCACATAAACTACTAAACTAGTCACAAGTGAGGCAAAAATCAAATTCATGTAGGCTAGTTTTAGTAGAAGGTAAATTTTGTACGGTTTTAGTGAATATTTATATAAAAATACAAGTTGAAACTCGTTACTTCCTTGTGGAATGTGATGTTAGTATCTATTTTATGTTTGTCTGACGTATTTTTACACTCATTTACCGCACATTTCGTCATTTTTAGCTAAAATTCTTGATCTGTTCGCAGTGCAAGTTGACCTTGAGCACTGAAGGCCCGCCCGCTCGTGTAGGCCCTTTGGGAGCGCTTCAATTTGCCTCACTTAGCGTGTGCGGGCTAGGTTTCTATGCATTATTATTCTAAGTTACTACCCTATTATAAAACTCATTTACATTAGAACCATGGCAGCACTAGTTAAATTAAATAGATGTCGTTTATTCTTAATGAATAATATCAGTATTCTGCTACCTGTCCTTAATATGTCATAAAGTCATAGTGCCTGTAATTTCACCAGTACCTCCTTCAAAACCAGAACTCAGAACTCTTTCACAAGCAACTGTACCTTTTGAGAACCGGGTGAAGTCCGTGCGAACGGTTGATCTGGACCTGACTTAGATGGTCCCTGTACGGGCTTGCTAGCAGAGGTTGATGGGTAAACAAAACTTATGTAGAAAGATATGAGGCTGTTCTTCTCGGGATTTGGGATTGCGAGTGTAAAGTCGCTTTTAAATGAACTTGCTTTTGGACCACTACCTAGCTCTGGAGCAAAGATAGGATCTATGATGGAACGACCTCGCCTAGAAGATGTTTGCAGTCGCACCTTTAAGATACTCAGGGTGTATGAATTCAGAAGGGACTCAGGGACTATCTTGCTGTTTGGTATGGAGTGTTGGACCTTGACTCCAGCATTATGCTCAAAACTAAAGTCCTTTGAGATGTGGCTGTATAGACAGACGTATGCTTGACAAATCGTGGGTACAAAAGTCACCAATGTTGAGGTTCTTCGTCGAATAAAAAAAAAGTTGAAGATACTCAGAATTAATTGTAAAGGAAAGGAAGCTGCAGTATTTTGGCCACGTAATGGGGGACAATAGATACCGAATTCTTCAACTAATGCAGAGAAAAGTACAAGGAAAGCATAGTCGAGACAGAAAGAAAACCTCGTGATTAAAGAACCTGAGAGACTGGTTCCACCTCAGCACACGTTCCCTCTTTCGTGCGGCAGCTTTAGAAATGAAAATAGCCGCGATGTTCGCCAACCTTCGTAGGGAAACGGGACATTAAGTAAGAATGATATCCCGCCGTAAGTCTGGATGTCCGTTGGTAAAAGGGGGCGGGCGGGATGAGCTGACGGAGCTCATGGGCACACTCACCGAAATATATTCTATAGAAAAACCGTAATTATAACCACAATTCTACACGATATTTTTTATTCGGTTTTATAAAACAAAATTTTAATATGAAATGAAACAACGTAAAAGTGACCCAGGCTGTCTTCTATCTGCTCTATTATAATAGAAACTTTAACAATTTTAAGGGTCTTTACTTTAACAATTTAAACCCTTTTTTAAAAAACAGCACTAATTAAAATTAATTAATGGCTAAACCTTGTTAAACAAAAAAGCCATTTAATTTTCAATTAAATTATCAAAGCGCCATCTATGATTTTTTTTATTAACTACTAAGTGGAAAAGCGTCGCGAAAAAACGTAGCACACGAGAGTAAATGAGAATCCTGGCTTTCCTCGTAGTACTAAGGTAATAGTAGAGATGGCGTTACATGTACGCAAAAATTAACAACAATGAGCATTATAACTTTTATAAGTTAATAATTAATGTTAGCTGTTTATTAATTCAATACATTAATAGCCTATTAAATATTGTTAAATCTTCTTTATTTGTTACTAACCAACTTACAGCCGTTTACTAAGCACTTATGTTTTATGATGACTTTATCGAAATGTTTTGAAACATGTTACGTCGGCTACTTTTTGTAAACCAATATACTGTTTTCAGTTCTTTATGTAACTTTGTGCGGTTAAGAATCGTTAGTTTACTAAACTAATTTCAACCAAACTAACGTTAATTACGTGGTTAAATAAAAACAAACGTAAAATAAAATTATTTTTCTTTCGTTAAATTAAAACAGCAATTAAATATCTTAAGTGAAAAATAAGTCATATAAATTTTAGTGTTCATTTGTTTCTATGTTTTGTTTGCACGTAAATAAAAAAAAAACAAGTATTTTACAAGGCACGGGTTGTGTAAAAAAAGCTATAATATTATATATACCTTAATTGAATAATAACAATTAATTAATACGGAAGACAACATTAATTATAGGCATATTTCGTTGATTAAATCTGAAGAATTAATCAGTTAACATGATGTACCACCTGATAATCTATATGCCGTTCTTTTTAATAATGAAAACGACAAGCCATGTGCCTAAAAACGACTCAAATGTGGTCATATATGGTGGCCACGCAGACGCGGCAGATTACGCTGCTCCACGCCGTGCGATGGCTACAACAGCTGCCGTAAAACCTGTTGTTACACAACGCGTTCTACAACCCACAACGCACATCATGCAACATGTTGAAGATTTTGGTGACAAGGTATAATTGTAATTATTAATACAAAGATAGAATACTAAAAAAAATCCTTCGAACCGTCTGGATTCGAACCAACGTCTTCCAGCAAGCCGCGGCAGTACTATGCCAACAAAGTCACGGAACGTATCAGCGGACATTACGAATTTTTCTATTATTTGTTGCAGATTGTTGTTTTTGGTTTGTAACGAGTTTTTACTGGTAGCGCCACTGTAAGAAATCTATTTCTTCACTACAGACACTGTACCTTCGTTAGGATGTGGCTTCCTTCCGACCTAACCTAACCTAACGACGAAAAGCCGTTCATGATGAGTTATCAATATATTTTTGTATATTTTTCATTGACTTACAAATAAATGGACAACGGGTCTAATACAAAAACCACGAAAAAATGAACCAAGTCAACCTATTTAAACGTAGTGACATGTAAAGGAATATGAAAAAGCTAAAACGTTGAATTTAAATTGTAATGTCATCGCAGTACTGTCTAATTTTGCTTGCTTCGCTGTCAGTCGAACAAACGAAGACTAAAGCGTGAATGACGCTCTGTATACGATTTTAACGCCCTATGGGTTCGGACACTTTTTAGCGCGGATCCGACGTCCATATAATTGTAAGTAAATGATATTTTTAGAAGTCGGAAATAAAAAATTTGTAAAACATTGTATTTTAGAATAGATGCAAGAACACAACGCAATTGACTCATTTCGATCATAGATTAGGTAACGTTCTTATAAGTACGTTTTGTTTTAAGCATGATTGAATGTTTACCTACTTGAAGTATTGGTTATTTTATAGTACACACATAAAACATTAAAGCTATAAAATACCTAATGAAATAATCAAATAGTAATGACAAAGCAAAAAATAAAACACAATGTTACAATAATATTTAGACAATATTTAAATGAGATAATGAAAGTTGCAAAGGAACGTTTTGACAAAAAACCTCTTGCCAATGTCAATATTACATTGATTTTTTTTTAAATTTATTAAGGCTTTGGCAAAGCCATAAGCCTAAACATGAAGTTTAAATTATGTTTCCGTAAATATGGCCACAACAAAGAGGATAGGCAATTTGAGGCGGCGTGCTTGGATTGACTCGGGATTCCTTAAAACGGGCCGATACGGGTATTTTAGTTCCCGTCCGGGTATTTAGGTTAACCCGTCCAAAACTCAGTGCATCGTTATTGGTAGTCCGTGGTTTGCATCAAGAATCGATTATAGCTTGCTTCCACCGGTGATGTTCGATGGTGTCCAGATTCCTATTTCGGAATCAGTTAAGAATCTGGGGGTTATTTTTGATAAATCTCTTTCATGGAAACCGCACGTTGCTGAGGTTAGCAGGAAGGTGTTTAATGCGCATTTCTCACTGAGAAGATTAAGAAATTACCTGCCAACTAAAACCAAAATTAACCTGGCTCAAAGTCTCCTACATCCGATACTGGACTATGCTGATGTTTGCTACCCTGATTTGACAGTCACTCTTCTTAATAAATTGGAACGGCTCCAAAACATGTGCATACGCTTTATTTTCGGACTCCGGAAATTCGACCATGTTTCCCAGTTTCGCAAACAACTTAAATGGCTACCAATCCACCGTCGTAGAGACCTTCACGTCCTTTCCCTCCTTTTTTCAATTCTTTACGACACCTTTGCTCCTCCTTACCTCAAAGAACGTTTCGTCTTTCACGCTTCTACTCTTGACCGTCCACTTCGCTCCTCTCAAACCCTTTCTTTAGAAATGCCCTCCCATTCTTCTGATTTTTCCTCTAACTCTTTCACTGTTTCTGCTATCCGATTGTGGAATTCTCTCCCTGAAAATATTCGACGATCCCCCTCTTTACATACTTTCAAACGACGTGTCAAGGAGCACTTCCTTGAGCAGTGACTTCTTTCCCTTTCTGCCTTTAATGTCCTTGTTCTGTTGTTATTATAATCCTTCATCATAATATAATAAGTAAATATTTTTATAATTATTTATTTATGTATTTACATTGATATCATTGTGTATTTATTTTTTTTATTTATTTACTTTAAAATGATATATTATTGTGTTTATTATTAATATTTATTTATATTATATACTATATTTATTATTAGTATTTATTAATATTGTTTCTCAATCTATCGCTGTGGTATCTTGTATCTTGGTTGCACCCCCTTCTAAGTACTTTTCCTATCCTAAGGTTGCCTGGAAGAAATTGCTACTTAGCAATAAGGCCGCCTGTTGTGCGTATGTTTATCTGTACATGTGTTTATGTTCGTGTGTTTATCTGTGCAATAAAGTATATTCATTCATTCATTCATTCATTAGTTCGAGATTCGTATAATTTCGCGTTTTAATCTTCGATTAAGGCACTGCTATTCCACTTTAAACTAGATTTCACAAAATAATTGAAAGTCAAGATAAAAACGACACTTTTCCCTCCAAAATTAGCGAATAGCGAATCTCCTTGTTACATTGATATTGAGAACAGTGTGACCATTTGTGGCAGATTTCTGCCATTTGGGCTGATTTAATTTTTATCATTTTCATTGGTGCAGAACATTATAAGTCATATTAAATGTGACAGAGTTTGGCAGATTTGGGAATATTCGGGAAGTTCTTTATTGTTTTTGGGAACAAACGAAAACATCTAAAGCGAAATACAGGAGAATGTTATAAACTTAACCTATATCAACTTTCTAACCCCAGCTTCTACAGGCTGTACTCAATTAGCTTTTTTGATGCTTTGATAATGAATCACAAGTATTGATAGGTCTCTTTAATGCACGTCGTCAAAAATGGGACATGGTTAACTTCTAGATCGTTAATTTATGATTCAAACTGTACCCTGTCGTTTACTTAATCGTTGAAGGTTCAATACCAGCAATACCTATTATTACAAATTTCGATAAATATGCTGCTATCTAGCGATTAATTGCTGAACGATGACAGATTGGAGTTATTAATTTAGTTCTCCAAAAAAAGAACCGACCGTATTGCAGGGGTATAAGCTTTACTTTCGTTTCTCGTAACAAACAAAAAAGTATATTAATATAAGACTTTCCGATGATATAAAATACCACCACGGGTAAGATTTTTGATTCGGCTATCAGTTTTGTACTCCAAATCATCATATTAAGGCATTTTTCTAGGATTTTCGAAGGAATTTTTTCTGAGTGTTCGATCTTCGTATTAATAATTATAACAACCATACCATACAAAGCGGAAATGGCGGACTGAACGCAAGTAGGTCTTTCAAAACCTACATTGGTACGCGTCGGACGCTAACTAACCACTTCTACTGTATTTATTGTTCTGGGGAAAGAGCGTTAGCTTAACAAATTTCAAACACGTAATCTATCTAATGTAAAAAACATGTAATCTAAAATATTTAATATTCATTAGGCTAGACTTGGATTATGACGTAAATTGTTAGTTTGTGAGAACCGACTCCGTAAGTTTAATAACGAAGCCTAGCCTACCGTAGAATTACCACTAACTTATGTGCGGGGCATAAAATGTTGCTGGACTGTATAGCCCCCTTTTTACAGTCACGCTATAGAACCGTACGGGCGCATTTATTCGAAACTAGTTCATCGCGCTCATGGCAAAATACGCTCTTACGTTTTAACTTAAATGATCGTCTCAGCCAGGACCAGACTGCTGACTATAATTCAGCGGAATTTAAATGTTGTTGCCTAGACTATAGAATTCAGATTCGCTATTAATGTACACGAAGGCGTGGTAACTGGGTGGAGGGAGCGCGAAAACTTTCTCCTCATGTAACTGTGCGCAAAAATATTGCGCGCGGGTAAGCCTCCATGCATAATCGTGCACGATTAGGTTTAGTTAGACACGTTTGAAGTTTTTTAAGCTAACGTTCTTTCGCGCGCGATTGCTCGTGTTTGTTTTTATTACAACGTAAAAGCGTCCATGTAAAAGGCAACTTTGGAACGCACGACTGCGCGCGCGACTGATTTTTCCTTTCAACGTCTTTTCACGCGCGCACGATTACTGTAGATATCACGCACGAGAACGTCTATGTGTAAAGCCCGCTATTTCCTAATTGCTTGTTCTTTATAGTGTTATACCTTTCTCACAGGTGGTCTTCGTGCCCACACGAGCGTATGACGTCAGAACAGTAGATGACGAATTTCTACACGATGATACAATGCGCTTGGACGAAATTGTTCATGGACAAAACAAATACAAATTGAAGGATCTTACTGAAAAACCAGGTAACCGTATTTCTTTACTAGCATCTGCAATAAAATCAACAATATCATATATATAGACTTTATCTTCCACAAGATACGGTTACGTTTTTTTGATTGTAATGAATATCATGATGTTCTAATACCATAATATTCTTTTTTTTATATGAAATTACTCCACTGATAGTTTTTGTACCTCCGATGACATCACAAGCGCTATTTAGTGATGGGTAAAAAAGCGATTGATTAAATCGAAGGCGCGGACGCAGCATGTATTTAAAATAATGATTTTTCAAGTATTTGTTGATTATAAAAACCCGTGAAATATTCATGTAGTAAAAGAATACCAGAATAAGATAATTAAGTCCTTTGTTAATACGAGTTTTGAAAAAAAGTTGCTCCGGAATAGCAAAAAAAAAACAACAAAAAAGTTTATAGTATATTTTTATAACATTTTCTAAGGTCTTAAGAATTATCAAGTGAACATCACTAATTGTAAAATATGACGAAGCGGCCGTACTATGAAACTGAATGCATTGTACGAAACTATCACTCGTTCGATATTCATTGCCTACTAGAAGGACCGCAAGTGTACCGCGCCAAGTAAAAACCACAATGTATTACTAATGACGCGGCATACATTCGTTTGCATATTATTTTTTCAAAATTGATGGTTCTTTTTTAGTTGAAAAGAAAATATTCCACCTATAAGGGTGGTAAACTACTTTTGAGGTAGATTTTTTTAGTGCTTTTGTATAGTAAAGTAAATCTGCATTCCAATTATAACTGCCCGACATCCGACAACAAGCACATAGAAAATTCGTAAGGACCGCTGGTTTTGGGAGACGTCGTCGGCGTTGGTTTGTATTAATAATTATAACAGAGTAGTGGAGTGATTTCACAAAAAAGAAATGAATATCAGTTCAATAGAGCGTACGGAACAGAGCTCTCAAAATAGTAAGTTACAGATCACACATGAGTCGGAAATTGTCGCGTTACGAAGAGAGGTTATAATATTTTAAGGTTATGTCCTTGAATTCTAGACGTAGGGTACAGGATCTTCTATATTTACATAAATCACTTCACAGCCTTACATCAAGTGCAATTCACGACGCCTTCTTAGACTATTCGTATTGAATGTTTATACTAATAACCATTGACTTACAATTATCTGGACGTCGGGTCCGCGCTAAAAAGTGTCCGAACTTACAGGGCGTTAAAATCGTATACAGAGCGTCATTCACGGTTTAGTCTTCGTTTGTTTGACTGACAGCGAAGCAAGCAAAATTAGACAGTACTGCGATGACATTACAATTTAAATACAACGTTTTAGCTTTTTCATATTCCTTTACATGTCACTACGTTTAAATGGGTTGACTTGGGACACTTTTTTCGTGGTTTTTGTATTAGACCCGTCGTCCATTTATTTGTAAGTCAATGCTAATAACACTTCTTTTTACAACCCTTTGACGAGAATGTGTCGGGCCTACAATGACCTTATGGCTGATCTTGGCGATGATTTAGGGATGGATATATATGATGGTAATGTTAAAAGACTTGGCAATCGAATCCACAACCACCACGGTATCTCTTTCATAGTTATAGTCATAGTAATTCTATTTTATTTAAGGTTACAGTTTTATTTATGCCCAAGTATTTTATATTAATTTACAAACAAATTATATTTTGAACAAAATTGCTTACTCATGATTGGTGCATCTAATAAATAAATAAATAAAAAATTAAACAGAATAATTTCAAAATAGAAAAAGGTCTTTAAATAGGTCACATGAACCGTTTAGGAAGGCTATCATGGTTACAGCAAATATCAGTATATGTTCTACACATTCTGTAAGTGGACTTTTTAATTATGATTATGGTTCCAGTCACGGAACACAGCGATGTCGTTTTCGTCCAAGGGCGTAATGCAGAGCGTACTCAGGAAGAAGAGGTCCGTAAAGCACAAGATCGCCACGAGGATGCGAGGACTAAGTCTGAAGCACCAATAAAGATAGATTGCAAAAATTTGGACTGCACGCACTCTGTGCAGTCAATATGTGGCTACAAAGTAGAGAACGGACATATGAGATACCGGCTGTTTATGAACGAGTGTTTTTATAGGAAAGTCAATTGCGGTTTTAGTTATGAAGTCAATCGTGAGTTTTCTGTTTTTTTTATTTTTCAAAGTTGCTAGCCTTCGATTTTGTGTGTGTAGTACATCGAGTATATAACCAGAAATAGAGACAAAATGTCATTTAATTTGTTTGAAAACTATTCTGCCATATCATTACTGTGACAACTGCGCTCCGATTGGCCAGCCCGAGTTCGGAACAACTGACGGGTGTCGTCAATTGTTTCGCTTTAATTCGACCAGTTAACTAGAACTTTGCTATAATGGACGAAAATTGCAAAATTACATAATATTTAATTACCGATGAAATGTGATTACGTTTGTTTTGTAATTAGATGTTTAGCTGTTTTTCCTACACCACCGAATGGAGCAGCCCCCCCTTTGTTGGAGATATTATCTTTATTACAATAAATACATAATATTTTCGTATTTTACCGAGACGTACACACAGGTCAGTTGTTAGCGCTGTAATAATTTAAGTTTTCTAATTCAGCGCAAACGAAATTTCATATTTTGCCAGGGGTGGATGGCCCTTTATTCGTCTCTATTTCTGGTTATAAATTCGATGGCGTAGAATAAATATTTCGAGTAACCTTTATTTTACGATACAAAATGACGGGACGAATAAGTCGTCCTCCTTTTGTAAGACTCGTCTGTTATACATTTACTAGCAGTAGACCTCCATGTGAGAGTGTGTGTGAAGAGTTCTTTCAGGGAAGTACTGCCACCGTACCGATGTCTAACGCCAAGCAGTAATGTCAGCTATTATGTTTCTGGTTTGAAGGGTAAGGGTGCTGGTGAAAATACAGGCACATGGGACTTGTCAACTTATGTCTCAGGGTGTCGGGCGCAGTGGCAGTGCCCCTCAGGTCTTTGTGATTTAAAGCTCTGAATGGCACTGCAACTGTTATGGACAGGCGTGTAGTTTACCATCAGGCGCACGACTTGTTCGTCTCAGGACTTGATATTGCAAAAAAATTGTCATTTCGGGTGTTATAATAATCCTAGTGGCTAATACATACTATTATCTATAAGTTCGTGCTTCCTGAGTTCACGTTTTGAAATCATAACACAGCCCCGCACTAGGGAAACCCTGTATCACGGGTGCCACAGACACATACATAGACAACCACAAATTGCACCCAAACTCACCGTCCGGCCACGGAAGCAGTTATAAGCAATACGTGCCTTTAAGAAATGAAATGTTTCTGAAAATTTATGTAAAATTGTATGGCAAAGAAAAAGAGATGAGAGCGCCATCTTCATAGATATTCAAAACAAAAATTTATGTAGTTATTAGACCGCGATTGTATTGCCACTCAGAGTTTTAAGTAGCAAAGATCTATGGGGCACTGTATTCAAATATATATTTACAAAGACCAAGCCTTAAAGTTTCTTGCTCGTTCTCCTCAGAAGAATCTTGCCTTACGAATGAGCAGTAGAGTTTAATAGAGTAATTTGCCTTTGAAATAAAAATGATTTGAAATTACTCCACTAATTTGTTTGTAATTATTAAAGAAAGATCGAACATTTATAAAAAAATCACTTCAATCCGGCTGGATTCGTACTAATGTCTCCTTCTACTTTTTTGTTTAAATTTAGGTTACAAAGTTGTACCATTAGACAAATGCGAGAAAGTTGGCGGCCATTACACTGAACGTAACACCTTCATTTACCAACCTGTTCCACACAGCATGCAGAGGCAACAGTATAACGAACTAACAGGCGAGTCTAGCTACGGCCTGAGAGTTAGGGATGAAAATAAAATGATAGAGACCAGGAGGAGAGTTTCAGGCAGAAAGTAAGTACAGTTTGAATATCATTGGTAAATTCAACGTACTTAAACCATTTTAATTATAATAACAAGATAGAAAACAAAAAATCGTCACCTAAATAACCATACTAAATAAACAACAAAGAAGATATCCACAATATTAACCTTAGAACTAAGTCCAAACTCATGGTACCACGATTTCGTTTTACTAAGGTAAACGATTCTTATATGACGAACTGTATACGTTTTTACAATAAGATTCCGGAGACTATATTAAGATTATCATCCCCTAACTTTACATTAAAAATATGCTGATTGAAAAAGAATGGCGTAGCTTGACGTGCTGCCATCTGTATACTCCCTCCGTATTCCATGGCAATGTGACTCTCTGTATAAATACTAACCAAAACCACATTTCAGAGCTATGATGATCAACACGGACGGGAAATACTGCTCCCACGCATGTCCAACAACATGCACTGATGATTACCAGCCTGAATGTGCAATGTCCGTCGGTTTTGAGCGCCGGGTGTTCTTAAATCATTGCCAATTGGATTACAATTCTTGTATCCATGGGATAAGTAAGTACTTTCCATCACACTTTCTCGTAAACAGTGTCATGCAGACAAGGTCGACCGTAATATCCTAAATTATGCACACAGGCTTTTTCATTACATTATCGCCCTAAGGATTTTTTACGTCAAGATTAAGCAAAAAGGTTTTATGCTCGAAAAATCGGAACGTGTATTTCGCATAAACTTGAAGTAATAAAATAACTAAATTTATTTTATGAATTCAAATCCTGCAGTATTTTTAGAATTTGGAAATTATTTATTTTATATCTAATACAATGTGGCTGCAACATTTTAATATCTATGGAAAAATAACTGGCACTCTGTTAAAAAAACCAGGAACCCGCCTTTTGCTAAATAATCTGTTGCATCCTTCAAATTGTCTTTTAAGAAATTTTTATTATCTAGCCAGGTGTCCAACAGCACTGGCAGTCGTGCGGTGCGATTATGACATTCCACTACTGACACTAATATCACAACCACACATACATGGTAACACATTGATCACACAATACACGCTCACACAGACTCTACACGTACTCGCAGTTTCTCCTTTTTTAGATTGAATTTTCATTTTTAAATTAAATTCTCTATTTTTCTTTCTACTTAGTTGAAGCCACTTTATTTTTGTTTAACTGTAAATTGTTGGCTTCACTGAAAATCAGCGTAACGAGATGTTTCCCTACGTCTCGTTACAAATAAGCTGAGTGGAGACCTTTTTGGTACCATCTTAAATATAATACTGTTTTATTTTAAGTAAATGTTATAATAAGGTTATTTTAATTTTTGTTTTTACGTTCTATTTGTATTATGGTTACCAAATAAACTATTTTTCTTTCTTTCTTTCTAAATAAATGTAATCTAAGTAAATGTTGTGTTGTGAAGCGATATTTAAACATAAGAAATAAATTATCGTTGTATCTGTTTCCTAGCGAATATGATGAACAACATTGTATGTAGCACGGGCGGTAAAATTACAAACCTCCAGTCAGCCCTCACTCAGCCTTCAGCTTTGGTTTTCTAACAAACTCTCGTTAGTAATTCTTCCCTTATTGCCTTAATACACAATGTAGTATTTATAATTACTTAATCGAATTTATTATGTCCACGGACTTGTGATCCACGAGAACTGAAGCTATGTTTTCCGGTCAAAATCGCGAATATTTGTTTCTTCAAGCAAACCGAACTTTCGGACCCTTTACATATTATAGTCACAGCTGACTGAGATAATGAAGTCATTTTATTTAAATTTTTATTGAATTGATATTCAATTATTTTTATGTGAAATTACTCCACTAGTTTGTTATAATTATTAATACAACGACAAACACTCAGAAAAAATTCCTTCGATCTCTATCTCTACATTTCTAGCCGAGTCTGGTAGCTGTAAAGGTATGTAACTGGATGACGAAATATCATAGATTTCTCATAGACGGCGCAACGGCGAAAAGGTTGCTGAAAAACCAAATACAAAGATACGACGCAAGCATATAGAAAAATTCATAAGGTCCGCTGGTTCGTTCCGTGGCTTAGTTGGTATAGCGTCTGACACGGTATGCTACAAGACGGCAGTTCGAATCCGGCCGGATCGAAGGATTTTTTTCTGAGTGTTCGATCTTTTTATTAATAATTATAACGAACTAGTAAAGAGCTGCCACATTACCTAATTCTACATCCAAGCAGTAATGTCAGTTTTACTGTGTTCCGGTTTTGAAGGGTAAGGGTGCTGGTGAAATTACAAGCTTTTGGGATAAAACAAATACAAACATTCTTTACTGCCACAATGACTCTGTTTGGATACAAATAATATAAGCGGGAAATAAATTCTATAACGTTAAGCCAAGCACGTCAGAGGGCAGTAGGAGGTGGAAACATAGTTGTTGCAGACAGCGCTGTTCTTCAGCCACCTCTTTGTTCTTAAGGTCTTAGGCGGACTTAAATGCAACGAGGGCCTAAAACAATTATAAAATTTGAAAATGGTTCAATATCATTACCACAGATTACAAAATGTCGGCAGATGGAGCGCGCCGAACATGAAAGTGAAGCCACCAAAGCAAATACAAATTCAAAAGCGAATACAAACTCGCGTCAGTACTAAGCACAGCGTCGCATTGTTTGCACGTCACGAGTGATTAGTTATCTTTTTTTATGTTTAAAAATGCCATTGTAAAAGTTGTTCCCAAAAACAAAAAATAAGATGGAATATCTTTTCACATGGAACTATTGATTATTTAAATGTTTTGTAATTTATTTACCCAATATTTTTTGAGATTCACTCGGAACACGAAACCTCGACATAAATCCGTATGTGTTGCCAGTTTATATCGAAATAGGTTTCCTTAAAATTAGATAGATACGCATGGGTGATAGGAGCATTGATTAATTTATACTTTAATGTAGAAATTAAATATTGCACGCGTATTTATACAGGCTGGTCCATTTACAGCGGTACAAAAATGTTTTTTAGGTAACTCAGATTTACCTAAATTATTCTCAAATCAATGTCTAATAGCCATTATGTACACAAAAGAAAATGTAGCCCGATAGATGCAGAGAACTTTTATTGTTGTGTGCACATGTTATTGAAACAAAAGGTATCAATAAAATAAAATAAAACATTATAATGTATGACATAACGTCGCAGGTTCTAAAGACTTTCATTGGGAACCAAACAATTTTTGTCTACTTGGTACTTGGTACTTGGTGCAACGGGCTGGTATCCGCAACTCGACTCGATTTTTGTCTAATTAGAAGATGATTGTCAATGCTATGGAATTGATTACAAAGTCAATTTAATGGTATAAATTATAGAATAGTATTTGATGGTGCGATTGCACTACATATCAAAATCAGAAACGAATGCTCGATATATAGACGCGCAACGGTAGTATTATAAAAACGTGTAGAAAATAAAGGTTATTAAGATATTGTGTCACTGTGATTGTAATAAATTTTTCAATTTTAAAATATCATAATAAAATATTGTTTCCTTTGTGAGATGTAAATCGAATAATAACAATTACATATTAACTTACATTGCATATAGTTTGTTTGATATCCTAATACCATTTAAGTACCATTTATTGCCAAATATTATTTCCAGTTTGTAACATTAGTATTATAAAAAGCGTTAGAAAAAAATGCGGGAGTTGTTTCGCTGCATCTAACAATCTTACATGCTCACATATGCGCATGTCCCTACAGCGCCCCTCCTAGTTGTCACGCACACAATAAATGAAAAATGGCTTCACATCGTTTGTTGCGTATGGACCATCTGCCTATGTTTTGTACATAGGACGCAGTATAAGTTTCCGGAACTGACCACTTACATAAACAATATTTAAAAAGTAATTAGAACATTTGAAAATGGAACTCTTTGGCTATAGAATACAGTTTGTTTCATCTGACTGTCACTTGTTTTTCCATTGTGGCGTCATTTTAGAAATTGGTTGTCTACATCACCATGAATTTAGCTCCTGAAAATTTTCGTAGTATGATTTTCTACGACTTTAAGTGTAATTTAACAGCTCAGCGGAGCTTTGCTCGGCTTCAAACTGCCTTTGGCGATGAAGCACCATGCAAGACGACTATTTATAGCTGCTTTGCAGAATGTGAATCTCAGTGACGAATTTCGTGATGGTCGCCCGTCCAGTGCTGTGAACAACAAAAACATCGATGCTGTGCGCCGTATGATCGAAACAAACAGACTTGTGACATATCATGAGATTCAGGCATCTTTAGGCATAAACATGAGTCAAATACAATCAATACTACACAAACATTTGGGTGTGAAAAAGTTGTGCTCTCGGTGGATCCCACATAATTTGACTGAGGCTCAAAAAACGGGTCGCGTCACTTGGTGCAATGCTATGCTTACCAGATTCAACAAAGGGGCGTCAAATTTGGTGTGAGATACAGTAACAGGTGACGAAACATGGATTTATAGTTACGATCCCAAAACAAAGCAGCAATCGAGGGTATGGGTCTTTCGAGATGAGCCGAAACAAACGAAAGTGGCGCGCGTGCAAAGTGCCTCTAAGAAGATGATTGCTTCTTTTTTTAATAAAAATGGACACGTGGTTACTGTTACATTGGAGAATCGTTGAACCGTGAATAGTGATTGGTACACGACCATTTCTTTGCCGGAAGTTATTGACAAACTCCGTAAAAATAACTGTAAACGCCGTATCATCTTGCACGACGATAATGCCAGTTCTCACACGGCCAGACAGACAAATGAATTTTTGAAGGTGAACAACGTTGACCTTATGAGCCATCCCGCGTACAATCCTGACCTGGCACCTTGGGACTTTCATTTATTTCCAAAAATCAAGAACCAGTTACGCAGTCAACGATTTTCATCACCTGGTTTCAGAGATTGTCACGGAGGAGTGGCATAAATGTTTTCAAAATTGGTTCATTCGTACGAAAAAGTGCATTAACGCTAACGGAGAATATTTTGAGAAACAATAAATTCATTTCTGATGGTCAGAAATGAATTCATAGTACTTTTTTTTATTCTTTCAGGGAACTTATAGTGCGACACGTAATCTGAGATCATTACTTATATAATAATTGAAGATGTTCTTATTTTTGAAGAGGATAAAAAACGTGTCAACATATGTCTCAGGACGACGGACACGATGGCAATACCCCTACGTTCTGGTTTGGAAGGTTAAGGGTGCTGGTGAAATTACAGTAACATGGGACTTGTCAACTTACGTCTCAGGGTGACGGACGCAGAGGCAGTGCCGCTAATATCTTTACGAATTAAATTTACTTGGAATCATAAAAAAAGTAATTCTATTCGTTAGACTGTGCAATTTGAATACCAGGATTTTGATGCCGTGCCTTCACAATCTGAACTCAACGTTATCTTATCCATTGGCGTTATGAATCCATGAATGTAGTCAAAGCGAAATAATAATTTATTCCATAGGTAAAATTTTTGCACTTGAAAACGCCATTTTTTAACCGACTTCAAAAAAGGAGGATCTCAGTTCGACTGTATGTTTTTTTTTTATGTATGTATGTTACGCGATAACTCCGGTATTTGTGAACCGATTTTCATGATTCTTTTTTTTTTGTTGGAATGGGAGTACTTCCGTAATGGTCCCATTTCATTTTGAAGAAAATCATCCACCTCGAAGGGTGACTGTTCACGCATGAAGATTCATTTGTATAAATAGCGCCTAAATTTTCTTAAGGAGCAATTATTTTAATGGTTGATTTTGCTATTTCTCCAATTCAAGACGTTTTTCTCTCAATATTCTTTGAGTAGTGAGAACCGATTTTTATTATCTCCAGTACCAAGTCCTGTATAGTGGCGAGTTTAAGGATATTTCAATAAAACTTAGCAAATAGATGTAATTCCACGTACTTTTGAGGTCGGTTTTTTTTAGTACTCTGTACTGAGATTATTAAGCAACAGCTCGTTCACTTCGCTGACCTCCCCGAGAAGAACGACCAAGGAACTTTAAGGATGGCTCTTTTCAAATAAACTTAAATGCTATAGAATACATTTTGAAATATAATTGTGTGGAATCTAGACTCATGTTGTCTTTCCATACTTCTTTATTTAAAACATACTCTTCAATTTTGTAATATGACTTTTCAATTAAAATACTCATAATGTAAGTTTTGAACTTAGGAAATGGTAATCTTTATATATTTTCCGGAATCTTATTGTAAAAACGTATACAGTTCCCCAAAAAGAGGCGTTTGCCTTGGTTAAACGAAATCGTGTTACCATGAGTTTGGACTTAGTTCTAAGGTTAATATTATGGATATCTTCTTTCTTTACGAAATTCTGTATATTTTTATGCCACAATCATGATACCAGTCTCCTTAAACTTTTCTCTGAAAGAAATCCGAGAACCTAAACGGTACACAGAATGAACCACTCGCTGATGAATTTAAATTCAAAACGCCAAATTACTATTTGTTCTCCATAATATTTGTTTAATGTTAGCTTATTCATCTTTGTTAAGTTATTGTTTAAGTTACGGTCAGCACTTAAGTTTAGCCTAAGTAAAGTACCTTCCTACTTATATAAATAGTTGTCTTATTATCTTGAGTGAAAATCTCGCATACGAATCTTTACACGTAATGTTTTTGTTGATTTTTAAAAACCTATTAAAAATAAGTTATAAAACTTTTTTTATAACACCAAGTGACGTGACGAACAAGTCGTGTGCGTGATGGTAAACGACACGCCTATCCATAACAGGTGCAAAACAGCGCCTGTGGCGCTGTAACGTAAGTTGACAAGTCCCGTGTGTCTGTAATTTCACCAGCACCCTTACCATTCAAAACCGGAACGGAGTAATGCTCACATTTCCGCTTGCCGGCAGAAATGGTAAGGTGGCAGTCTTTAGCAGTAATTGAAAATTGCCCAGCGGTTTAAAGTCACGCCGCGACGCCCGGTGCCACGTCAGTCGCCATCAGACGCTTGTCAACATCGGATCAGTGTCTATTTTTTTCCACCTATTCTTATTTCATTCATATTTTTTTTAAGTGCGTGCACCTCAACTCCTACAATCTAGGCTCGCATTAAAATACCTTAATAATATCATAAACCATAAACACGTTGAATTTAGCCTACATGAATACTAATTTTTTAACCGACTTCAAAAAAGGAGGAGGTTCTCAATTCGACAGTATGTTTTTTTTTTGTATGTATGTTACGCGATAACTCCGGTATTTGTGAACCGATTTTCATGATTCTTCTTTTGTTGGAAAGGGGGTACTTCCATAGTGGTCCCATTTCATTTTGAAGAAAATCATCCACCTCGAAGGGTGGCTGTTCACGCATGAAGATTCATTTTTATAAATAGCGCCTAACTTTAATTTAGGAACAATTATTTTAATGGTTGATTTTGCTATTTCTCCAATTCAAGGCGTTTTTCTCTTAATATACTTTGAGATAGTGAGAACCGATTTTTATTATCTCCAGTGTCAAGTTCTGTATAGTGGCGAACTAGCGGATATTTCAATAAAACTTAGCAAATAGACGTAATTCCACTTTTTTTTTATACATGACAGGCAAATGACTCCACTCCACTTACTATTGAGGTCGGTTGTTTTAGTACTCTGTACTGAGATTATAATTTTATTAAATCATAATGTAGCCTAAAGTAGAATGTTCTTTGGGCAATTAAAAATAAGATTAAATTAATGGGTTAATCCCACCAGATTCCTTAAAGCGGATCTGGTGGATCCGTTTTATTTTATAATACATTATTTTCTATTCCCATAAGATCACCTATGTAGGGAGTTACGAATAAATCATTATATTTTATTCCCACCTGATACCCTGGTACTTACAAACTTATTTTTGGTAGGTACTGTGGTATAGTCAAGAAGAAAAACTTTTAAAAGCTCTAAGAGATGACGCAATTTGCAAATTGTGCATCGTGAATATAAATTACAGTTAACAAACTCAGTAACAAAGCTATAATAACTATCACAAGTAATAGCAATCGAGAAACGGCACAAATACGTTAATGACCAACTTTTGACTGGAAAAAACAACACGGTTAGTCACTATTTAGAAAAACTTACATTTTAAATACTACTTAAGATTGATTTGTTGTCTCAAAAAAAATGTTGTGTGATAATTTTGAACACAATTGCCGAATAAATGAATATTTAATTTCAAAACTTCTTTTTCCTTTAACTGTACTTACCTTACATATACAATGAGGGGATCCGTTGAGAGTTGCAAAATATAGAGTGGTGGTGGTGGTGGATCAATTATTGGAGATCGAATGAGAATAGCCCAAATAAATAACTTTTGTAACTAGAGTTTTGTATTAGTATTAGACATAACTGGTTGATCACTTTATCTTCTCTGTCACCTGTGACCTGCCTGTCTTTATGACGGGGAATGCTCTGAGGAACTTTTCGAACTGGTGCCATCGTCTCGTTTCTACCATCGTACCTCCCGCCAAAGTAGTAGAGTCCATCCCTACAACTTAGATGCCTGGCATTGTAAGACCACGAGGGCATCTCATTAGTTCCTCGAACCTGCGAGATGTGGAATGATCTTCCCCCTGAAGTACTTCCTTTGCGATGTGACATGGGGTTCTTCAAAAAGTGTGTTTACAGTGCTCTCAAAGGCTGGCAACGCATAGGCAGCTCATCTGATGTTGCAAATGTCCATGGGCGACGATAACCACCTCCTAACAAGTGGAGGTAGTATCATAAAAAAAAGGGCCCAAAACGTTGGTTTTGTTTGAAAAAACAAATAGATATATGCGATGTAAATCCCAAAAATCAGTTTCAATTCTATACGATTTTTGTTTTTTTTTTAGTATGGCGCCGCCGTCCTCTAGCCGAGTGCGTTGGAGGAAAAAAGGCAGACATGCAGCAAAACCGAGCCTTCATAGATTGGATGCAGAGAGTGGGAATAGTCGATAAGAAAGGACGACTTGTTTTAAACTAAATAAGACAATTGTATGCACTAATTGAAAATGTTTATTTATCTGATGGTAAGCTACACGCCTGTTCAAAAAACTGTACTGCCACGCAGAGAATCGCAAAGATCTGAGGGGCACTGCCATCGAGTATATAACCAGAAATAGAGAAGAAATAAAGGCCATGCTTTCTTGGTAACTCATCAATGATACATCACTTATAAATATCAAATCTCGTTTGCACTGAAATACAGACAGCGCCAACAACTGACGTGTGTACGTCTCCGTATATTCCAAAAATATTCAGTATTTATTGTAATAGAGATAATATCTCTAACAATGGGGAGTTGTTCCATTCGGTGGTGTGGGGAAAAACAGCAAAATATCTCATTAGTAATGAGATAAAATAGAATTTGATTTCGTTTGTTTTCTAATGAGTCATTACAAAACAAACGAAATCAAATTTCATCGGTAATTAAATATTAAATATGTAATTTTGCAATTTTCGTCCATTATAGCAAAGCTCAAGTTAACTGGTCAATTTGAAGTGAAACAGTTGACGACACTCGTCAATTGTTTCGAATTCGGGCTGGCCAATCGGAGCACTGTTGTCACAGTAATGGTATAACAGAATAGTTTTCAAACAAATGACATTTCGTCTCTATTTCTGGTTAAATACTCGATAGGCACTGCCATTGCGCCCGTCACTCTGCGATAACAACTCCCATGTAATTTTAAAAGCACCCTTAGCGCCCAGTTGCCATGTTAATGCTGTAAATGCTAAATAAATAGAGCTTATTTTGCCATGACAGTTAGATTCACGAGGTCGCTGCGCGGGGTGAGTGCTACGTTTTAACTTAAATGAATGTCCCGGGCGCGCAGGCAGGTCTTGTAATTTGTTTAGGCCTAGTAAATAGAATTCAGATACACCATTCACGTACATGAAAGCGTGGTACCTGGGCAGTCGGATAACTTTCGCTTCATGTCACCCGCTATAGCACCTCGCCTCGAGCCTCCGATCGACTGGACATGACACTTCACATAATTACCTATACATTTCATATATTATCCAATTTGTATAAAAATATTAGAATTTAAGTTTATTTTATTGATATACTGTTATTTACAGAATAGAATAGAATACGTTTATTTGCCAGAATACAGTAATTACAAAGGTCTTAAGTAAAATTAGGTACATTGTATTCAACCTGCAAGCAGATGTGCAAATATTAAAGGGATTCAATGTTTCTTTAGTCTCTATAGTTTCTAATTAATGTAATGAATTTGTAAATTCTAAGTATTCTTTATTACTATAGAAGCAATGTGTCAAAAGCCAATTTGTCAATTTTAATTTAAAAGTATGTCCTTGTAACAATTTAATTTCGTTTGGTAATTTATTGTAAATAATTATACACATGTTGAAGCAGTTACTCTTATAAATTACTTTATGGCAACGGGGTTGGTATAAGAGATTCATAATTTTTGCTCTAGTTTGCCTTTGAATGACTCCACCGCGTGTTTTAAAATATTGAGGATGAGAGTTGACAAATACGCAGATATCCCTAATGTACATGCATGGCAAAGGTAATATGCTCAGCCTTGTAAGCAGCGGTTTGCAACTGTCATCGAACCACGCACCGCAAATTGCTCGAATACACTTTTCTGGACTTTAAACGCTCTTTCTAAGATTACTGAGTTACCCCATAGTACAAGACCGTAGCTGTGCACGGACGAAACGTAGCCGTGATAGGCCGTCAACGCAGCTTCTCGCGAGACAGTTTGTCTAAGTCTTCGTAAAGCGTAAACAAATCTGTTTAGGTTCATGCACATCTGTTCGATGTGTTCCTTCCACTTAAGGTTCTTGTCGATTGTTAACCCAAGAAAGTTAAATGTGTCTACTTCATCTACAGTATCAGAGTTGTAATTAATTTTAACCGGTATGGGATTTGAGTTGTAAGATCTAAATATCATAGCTTTGGTTTTACTTATATTAATATTCAAGTCATTGATGTCCATCCAACTTATTACGTCTGTCAGTGCTTTATTTACGTCAGTGTTAAAAGTCGCTTTGTTTTGGCATTTTATTATAAGAGTTGTATCGTCAGCAAATTGTATACAATTATGATCAATAGCATGTGGGAGATCGTTAATGTAGAGTAGGAACAGTAACGGACCCAAGACGCTACCTTGCGGTATTCCAGCATTAGTTGTCTTAAGGTGTGATCCAAAAATTTGTTTTTCTAATCTATTATTGTGTTTGTTTTTTGTTAATCTACTTATTTCAGTATACTGTGTCCGATTTTTTAAGTAGCTCGCTATCCAATTTTGGGCTGTTCCTCTAATGCCGTATGCTTCAAGCTTGTAAAGGAGTTTTGAGTGATTTACAAAGTCGAAGGCTTTAGTCATATCTGGAAAGACTGACATTACAGGAGTAGAGACGTTTATACTTTCCGTTACAATGCGAAAAAACTCAAAACATGCAAGAGTTGCAGAACTACCTTTTCTAAATCCGAATTGAGAGTAATATATTACTTTATGTTATTCTAAAAATGCATTTAATCTGGAATGCAGAGCCCTTTCAAATAATTTGGATAGAGTCAAGACTAAAGTAATTGGTCTATAGTTATCATAAGTATCATAAGTATCTCTCATTTGTATGTAGTTGTATGTACACTACCTATTAAGTCGGTTTTCTTATCTGTTTATTTTCTGTATTGTTGTCAGTAGGTCCCTCGCCCAGGGCTTGCTGAAAAAGCACGAAACGGTTTAAAAAAAGCCGTTTGTGGCTAAATCTGAGCAAGTCCCGATTGCACCAGACGCATGACGGTGAATTAGGTACTTAATTTTTGTTGTTTTTTTTTTAGTTACATTATTTATTTTGGGCTCTCGCTTCTCCGAGGGCCTTAAAGATTTATTTTGAATTATTATTATTGTTCCTCTGTTGTTTTGTTTATATGCGTGTCTGTGCTTGTGTAATAAACAGTTTCCTTTCTTTCTTTCTAACTGGGCGCTAGCCCTTCAAACCCGGAGCACAGTAATACTGACATGTAGTTCCCTGGACGAACTCTATCACAAGGGGCTCTGCTGCTACTAGCATGCTTCCCACCAGGCGCACGATTTGTTCGTCCAGTCGCTTAGTATTATAACAATTTCAGTACGGAGTGCCAAAAAAAACCGACCTCAAAAGTCATTCATCCACCCTTAGAGTGTAGTGTAAAACTACGTACCCCCTATCATCTTCATCTCTCTCATTATACGTTTTCTCGGAAACGCCCTTACTTTTCCTGATTCCTGAAAGTGTTCCAACTAATTTAAATTAAAAATTGTTTATTAAAGACTACATGGGTCCATGGTGTTAGTACATCACAAGAAAACCCTACAACTATGTTAATAATAATTTTACATAACAATAATACAATAATAAAATAAAATAATTAAATAATACATACAATTAAAAATCAAAATTAATTATTAAAATATATAAGTTTAGGGTTTATAACAGCCGACATCCAATGTCTCTGTAAGGCACTGTCCGGTCTATCGGCTAATATCCTAAGTTGGGGCTCTCACTGGAACTATTTTTTTGCGCATTACTGCGTAAAAACAGTCAGTGTGAGCGTCTGCAAACATACCAGATGCACTGCAGTACCTGGGCAACCCCAACAGCATCCTAAACATGTCGTTATAAAGACGCGTAGCTCGCTGAAGGTCTTTTGGGTATATATACCTAGTCCACTGACCGCTACAGTACGATTGACAGTATGATTTTAACAACGTAACTTTTCAAATTAATATTTACTGTAATATTAATGACAATTTAGTACTTTTCATGTCTGATCTCCTGACCTTGGCATATTCTATCGTACTGATAGTATCTCCGAATATTGCTATTCGTTTTTGCAATGCTAATTACTAATTCATCTATTTCACTTTATAAACATATTTATTTCGTATTTAATATCTTTATATGTTGACACTGACTGGCAGATATGTTACCCCTCTGCAATCTATTCTTCCATAGATTATCCTACAAATTACTCTTCCCTTGATATGCAATCTTAGCAAACCCACTTTCAAAACGTATAATGAGAGAGATTGAGATGATAGGGGGTCCGTAGTTTCACACTACAAGAGGTAGAATAATTGCTTCAAATTTAAATGGACCACTTTTGAGGTACCGCGCAATATTCATACAAAAAAAACATACAAGCAGTAGACCCTCCTACTTTTTTCGGAGTCGGTAAAAAAAGGAGACCCGTGCCCAGCAGTGTGCCGTATAAAGGATGATACAAGCCTGGACGTTAAACCTTACGCAATTAGCTGAATGTAACAAAATTTTATACCGCCATTATCAAATCCCCAGAGTTCGCTCGGGGTAGATTACGCGAAGGGTGAGAATTATCCTAGCTAATTTGAATTTAACGCCTTGGCTAAGTTAATTAGTAAGACACAGACGGATAGATGCGTTTTTGATGCGTATAATTACGTTTTTTTATAAAAAAAATAACCTCAAAAATATTTTCATAGATGACGCTACAGCTAAAGTCTTTGAAAACTAAATACAAAGATCCGACAAACAAGCATATAGAAAAGTTCGTGAGGTCCGCTGGTTCGTTCCGTGGCTTAGTTGGCATAGCGCTGGTTGGTTTGCTAGGAGACGTCGGTTCGAATCCGGTCGGATCGAAGGAATATTTGTGTTCAATCTTGTATTAATAATTATACAAAACTAGTGGAGTAATGTCACAAAAAATAATTAATATTTGCCAAGTTTTATTGCAATTGGTTACCGGAAAGTATGCGGAACCTGATTCACCCCCTAGTTTGTCAACCTTAGAGGTGGAATGTTATTTTCAAATTTAAATGGAACCACTATTATGATACGCTCTTTCCAAAAAAAAAGAATCATCAAAATAACACAAATGCGAGTTATCGCGTAATATACATAAAAAAACAGTTGAATTGGGAACCTCCTCCTTTTTTTGAAGACGGTTAAAAAGTAGTAGGTATTAGTGACGTATTTTGCTCTGTATGATATTTACAATATGCAGTAGAGACATTGACTTACAATTATATGGACGTCGGGTCCGCGCTAAAAAGTGTCCGCACTTGTAAGGCGCTAAAATCGTATACAGAGCGCCAAACTCCGCTTTAGTCTTCATTTGTTCTGCTGACAGCGCGATACTGCGATGACATTACAATTTAAATTTCGAATAGGTTGACTTGGGACATTTTTTTCGTGGTTTTTGTATTAGACCCGTCGTCCATTTATTTGTAAGTCAATGAGTAGAGACCATATTTCTGCCGCCAAACAATTACGTGAGCATTTTGAGCT